AAAAACCCATGGTTTTTTGCGATTTCTAACCTGCTCGCGCGACCCTCTGCGGGGATCGGCGTGGTCGAGGTGCAAAAACCCATGGTTTTTTGCGATTTCTGCGGTGCTCGCGCGACCCTCTGCGGGGATCGGCGTGGTCGAGGTGCAAAAACTCAGGTTTTTTGCGACTTTTGTTGTTCGAACTGGTCCTCGGGAGTTGTCTCGTGGTTCGCGCGCCTGCTCCCGGAACCGGCGGGTCGCGGGTTCGATTCCTCCCTGGTCCGCGGGCGGGCGTCGCAAGATGCAACTTGCATTTTACAAGCAACTTGCGCAGAGCAACTTGCGCAGAGCAAGTTGCACAGAGCAACTTGCGCAGACCAACTTGCACAGACAGTTGCGCAGAGCGCCTTGCCTAGAGCAACTTGCGCAGAGCAACTTACGCAGAGCAACTTGCACAGAGCAACTTGCACAGAGCAGCTTGCACAGAGCAACTTGCAGGGAGCGCAATTTGCACAGAGCAACTTGCAGGGAGCCACTTGCAGGGACCAACTTGCCGGAGCAACTTGCGCGGAGCAACTTGCGCAGAGCAACTTGCACAGTGCAACTTGCGTAGAGCAACTTGCGCAGACCAACTTGCACCGACCAGTTTGCGCAGAGCACCTTGCCTGGTGCTGTCTCGCGCTTGCTTCACGAAGTGTAGGGAAAAAGAACGCATCCTGCAGCGTTGGGCCGACCTCGCTTGCGATGTTCTGCTTTCGGGCCAACCGTGGTCTAGTTTTTTGGGGGGCTCTTTTTCGGTGGGTTTTAGGGGATGCCAAAGGGACAACCACAATTTTCGGGGGGCCCTCAGAAGAAAGACACAGCCATACGATGCCTCAAAAGAAAGACACAGCCATACGCTACGGCACCACAGGACAACTCGCTTGAATCATCTTAAACCCAATTGTCCACAACTGAGTCATAATCGAAACTTGGTATACAAAAAGAATGCAAAAACCGGATATCCAAACCCATATCTGGCTGGGCTGGTTCCTATCCTTCATCCGTGGCGTCCTTTTTCGGTGATTTCGTCTGGGCCCCCAGGCTCGGAAAGCCCGGCGCATGCGCGCGGCGAGCACTGTGAACTCTGGGCCCTGGATGTGGCTGTGGATCAAAATTGCCCATGTGGCTAGGGCCCTGAGTCTCATTTTACTGTGGCAGTGCCATTTTGGAACCCTAGTAAAACCTCAGTCAAATCTGCCTAAAGACCAGAAACCAAATCCAGTCTGCAAATGCTGGGACTCCAAAAGCTGAATTCAGGGATCCCCAAGTAAAGGACCTACATGGAACCAAGGACTAGAACCTGCGGCTCCTGGTGCTTTAAAATTGACCCATACCCAAATGTGTTGACGATTGGACGAACAGCTTGGCAGGGTTCAGAGATTTAGTTGGCGTCCGGGCAAGGAAAGCCAAAGCGAACCAGAGGAAACCAAAAAAAACAAGAAAACCACTAAAATCAAAGGACCCCAAACCCAAGTTGGTACCGTAAAGCAATCTCCCACCCTTGTGGCTTGATCATCCTAAGGCTAGCAGGGTTCAAGGGAACTGCCTGGGCCGTTTGGAGGTCCAGAAAAGAAAAGACAAGTTAAAACCCGATCTGGCAGCAACGCTTTCTGTGTTGGGTGTACCCCTATCCCAAACTCACTGGAAACCTGTGCCTTTGTTTTTTTGGCTATGTTGGTTTTGTTTATGTGATGTGGCTTCCTGGAAATCAAGGCTAAGTCAAACGGGTACCCGCCAAATTCAAAACAAGAAACAAACATCCGCCATCTGCATGAGGGGTCATCGGGGGCAAGGCACCGGGCCCGGGGCCCGAGGGTTGTCCATACAACCCACAGTTGCTATGGGTGTGTCTTTTTGAGGGACTCCCAGAAATGGTGGTTTTCCTTTTGGTGTCCCTCGCACCACTACCCTTAGATTACGCCAGCGTAGGCCCCAGATAGCACACCACAGCTACGAACCATGACGCAGCATCACAACGGCTCCCACGGCATCATGATGATGTTGACACTCTCATGACATGATGATGTTGACAGCAATATGCTGATGCACCAGTCACGAACGATTCCGCGCTACATATCTAGCAGAAAAAAAAGGCAGAAAGATGAGTTCGACAGCATCATGATGGTGCAAACAGCATCATGGTGACGCGGACAGCACCACCATGATGCGGACAGCATCATGGTGATGGTAAAGGCAGCATCATGATTCATGATGATACCACAGCCGCAAATCATCTTGCGACAGCGTGATGAAAACCAGCATCATCTTGATGTTGACAGCATCATGGCGCCACCACACCCACGAACCATAACGCAGCATCGATTCAACAGCATCATGATGCTGCGGACAGCATCGTGATGATGCCACAACCACGATACCCCAAACAGCACCCGCCCTAGCACCCTGCTGTCCATATGCGCCCGCGCCATCACCAACACCTACAAGCGGGCGTCGTAAGTCACCCCACGTCGCGTTAAGTCACCCCAACCATCCCCAGCCGCTTGGAACTACCCATATCCGTTGAAGTCGCCCCATGCGTTTTAAGTCCTCCCATTTTTGGCAAAACACAATGGGCACAGAACTGGAAGGGCCATGTTGCCAACCCCAAGAATTCACCGCACACTGCACGCACATGCTCAAAACTCACTGGTTTGGGTTCACGTTGAATGCTTTTTTCGGGCAAAACCTTATTGGGCACACTGCAATTAAAGGGTTCCTATCCTTCAAACAGAAATAGTGTTTTCTGTTGGTTCCCCCGGAACACCCGACAAAAGGGCTGCCGGCGCGAGTGCCGGGCGACTCTGCGCGAGTGCCGCGCGAGCGCCGGGTGAGCCGTGCCCTCATCCCTCCCAATGAAGATAGCTTCCGCTTGTGGCACAACTTCAAGTGCTGCAGCACGAGAAGAGAGAACCACCCAGTGGCAGTGAACATACACGCATGCACACGGCACATGGAAGCCGACCAAAAGTTGAACATCATACATTTTGCATGCGCGCAGCACAGAATTATGCGATTTCAGAAAATGACATGCTTGAGACAACTATCCTTACATCCACAAACACAACGGGCACACTCGCCCGAGACGACTTAGATCAACCCGGGACGACTTACAGCACTTACCCTGTAAAAACAGCAGCCCCAACGCAGCACCCGCGCCAGCGCCGGACAAGTCCCCGAGCACCCTGCCGTCACGTACGGTCACCAGCCCGCACAGCACCCCCCAAAACCGCACCCAGTACCCCAAAGCGCACGCCGCATGCCCCCTAGCTCCCAGCAAAACAATTACCCTTCTTCATCAGAAGTTAGAACCCCTATGGCTTTCCGCCATCTAGGAAAATAATCGCCCGCGCGGTCAGCAGCACCTCAAAAAGCAACTCAAAACAGCACTTGCACCACCACCCCCAAACTGCATGCCCCCTAGCGCCCGCCGCCGATCTCGGAAAATTGCGCCCACAACGTCACCATACAACACCCACAAAATGCGCCTGCACCATCAGCAGCACCTCAATCAAACAGCACCCCAGAGCAGCACCTGCACCAGCACCACACACTAAACGCCCCCTAACGCTGAGAGTCCTCCACCAGCGCCGCAAACTGCATGCCCCCTACCACCCGGCCGTCACCTCCACCGCACCCGGCCGTCAATCTTGCTGGCCGTCAATTTCGCACCTCCGCCAAAACCCGAAACTGCATGCCCCCTAGCAACCGAGCACCTCCGCCAACACCCCAAACTGCATGCCCTAGCACCCGGCCGTCAAGCTCGCAAAACAGCACCTCGAACCAACACCCCAAACTGCATGCCTAGCACCCGGCCGTCAAGCTCGCAAAACAGCACCTCCACCAGCACCCCAAACTGCATGCCCCCTAGCACCCGGCCGTCAAGCTCGCAAAACAGCACCTCGACCAGCACTCCAAACTGCATGCCCTTTTGCACCCCGTCAAGCTTGCAAAACAGCCTCCACCAACACCCCAAACTGCATGCCCCCTAGCACCGCCGTCAAGCTTGCAAAACTGCACCTCCGCCAGCACCCCAAACAGCATGCCCCCTAGCACCCGGCCCTCAATCTCGCAAATCACTTTCCCTCCTTATTAGAAGTTAGAACCTCTATAGCTTTCAGCTATCTGGGGAAAATAGAATTACACCGGCATAGACCCCAGATAGCAATGATTGCACACCAGCACCTCCAACAGCACCCCCCGAAGAGCGTCCCAAACAGCACCCGGCCGTCAATCGAGCACCCGCGCCATCACTAGCACCTCCAACAGCACCCCAAACGGCATCCCAAAACAGCACCTGCAGCAGCACAAGCTGCATGCCCCCTGCACCCTGCCGTCAATCTCGCAAAAAAGTGCCTGCACCGTCACCCTAAGAGCACCCCAAACAGCACCCCCCCAAACACCCAGCTGCACCAGCACCCCAAGCTGCGTGCAAGCCCGATAGCATGCGGGCGTCAATATCGCAAATTACGCCCGCACCGTCACCAGCACCTCAAACAGCTCCCCAAACAGCATCCCAAAAACACCACCAGCACCAGCACCCCAAACTGCATGCACGGGGGCACCCTACCGTCAAGATGCAAAAACACGCGATGCACCGTCACCCCCAAAACAGCACCTGCACCAGCACCCCCAAACTGCATGCCCCCTAGCACCCTACCGTCAATCTTGAAAAGATGCGCCCGCACTGCCATCAGCACCTCAAACAGCACCCCAAGCCGCCAAAACCAGCACCCCAAACTGCACGCCCCTTAGCACCAGCCCATCAATCTCGCAAATCACTTCCCCTCTTTATTAGAAGTTAGAACCCCTATAGCTTTCAGCTATCTGGGGAAAAAGACACACTGTTATACCAGCTGCTGCTGACGGCTGCTCTTTTCCTTGCCTTTCCATCGCTTCCACATCATGGCGCTTGTCCGGTCCAGCTTGCCAGTAAGCTTCTGACATGTTTCCGCAGTTCACTCGATCGTCTGACTCCTGAC